CTACCTGTGTGTGTCTGTCTCTCTCCCTGTCTACCTGAACCTACCTGTGTGTGTCTGTCTCTCTCTGTCTGCCTGAATCTGAGGAGCACAGAATAATGTGTGTGCCTGTCTTTCTCCCTCTGCTTGAAGGTACCTGTGTCCTTCTGTTTAAATGAACCTAAATTAATCTACCCATGTCCCTCTGTCTGCCAGAAAAACCGTACAGTCCCCTACATAAAGCTTGTACTTGTGTCTCTCTGTCTACCTAAATTACTCTGCCTTTGTCCCTTTGAGTCTCTATACCTTACCTGCGTCCTATGTCAGAATTTGTCCCTCTACCTAAATCTGTTTCCATGTCCCATTAACTGATTTACACAAAATCTCTTCACTTTAACGTCTTGTAGCAGTGTGGATAAATAGTTAATATCTCAGTATATATCAACATTAGACTTTAACAGTGTGATAATCATAGCCACCTAGTCCTTATTTTATTCTGCATTACATTAATAACCCAGGTCATAAGTGCACTGCTGGAGAACACAGGGTGGCAATAACATTTGGTAAAGCACAGGCAGAAAACAACACGTACACCTGTTCGGCAAAGAACCACTTCACTTACAGAAGCCTGGCTGGTTTGCATATCCTGATGCAGACAGTCTCCCTCTGTATGAGCTGCTCTCTGTAAGATCCCGGCGACGAGGAAGCTTTCCCCAGTAATGACAGTTTCTAGTCAAGCAGCAAGGAGAAGAAAGAACAATTCCCAACAGGTCATTTATTTAGTGCAGTTTGTTGATTTGACAACGAACAAGCTGTTAGGAATAACACAGGCATCCAGTGGAATTAGTAAATAATAATTATTCTGTGCTCCTCCCGGTGTTCTGCTCTCTGGCATCATCCTGTGATCAAGCTCTAAAAGCCATCAATAAATTAAGGGCAAACCGCAATTAAGAGCTGGGCTGATGGTGCTGGAGACAAAGCACTTACAGCAGGCCTAAGGAATAAGTACAGTAGCGGGGCTTTTGAGCTTGCAGGATTTTTCTGTGTAAACCATTGTAGTGCTGGGCATTTCTTGCTTTGTTGTCGTCTGTGGAGTCAGTGTGGAACAGACTTTAAAGCCAGCTCGTGCGATTGCTTCAGTAATGAAGTGTAATGAGTGCAGCACGCTCAGGAACCCCCAGCTCGTGAAAGTCACAGTGGATCAGACCGCGATCCACTGCCAGAGTCTTAAATCTTCCGCTGTCAGCTCAGGCTTGTCTGCCACCCACTGCGTTCTGTGGAGGATGGACAGCTCCCCATTCTGTTCTGTTCGTGCTGCCGCCCGGAAAGAGCTGTCCTGCCAAAGTCATCTCTCAGTGAGGTTTCCTTTACCTGGAAACTCAACAGGTATGAGGAAACCACCTTGTCTTTCACCTGACTTTTTTTTTTTAAGAAGTCAGCTGCTTTGCAGGACGATACCTGCTTCGGGCCGGTCCCGAGAATGCTTTGGGTGGCGCCAAGCAGCGCCCGGATGCCTGCCACTCGCTCACGAGCACACACTCGGTGGGGGGCAGGCTCATGGGAAATGCGGCACGTGGCACAGGAGGCGGCTTCTCGGGGGGTTGCGGAGGGCACCTCCCTGGGTTTCGGGGGTTCGGGGGGCGTGAAAGGGACATCTGCAGCCGGAGTGGGCGAGGTCAGGGAGGGTGGCAGAGGAAGATGAGTGAGGAGGAGGAGGGCGAGGCTGGGGGGGGCCCAGCCAGCCGAGTATCTCCTGCAGGCTCCTTCGCCGCACTTCCCTGCCCCTGCGCTGTGCAGCCGCAGCCCCTCTCTCTGCATACATATTAAAAGCGCAGAGCCATTCTATCTGTATGGAAATGTAGCAGGCACAGCTGGATTCTGCAAAGCGCTGTGATTTACTAATAGTTATTATCTGTTCTGCTTGTTCCCTGGCAGAGGCGGGAAGAGACTGGAAAACAAGCAAGTGCACCAAATTGAGTCTTTATGATAATGCTGTTGCTCTCGGCATCCCAACACTGGGCTTTATGATTATTATTATTGTTATTATTACTATTATTGCTATTAGTATTTTCATGAGCTGGCACCCGTGTGAAGCCTGTTCTGTATGTATATGGAGGTATCTGTCCTATCTGTCAGGTTCCTTTGGTGTTTCTACCTAATCTTTCCATCTCTGTATACGTATATATAGGTGACATAATCCCAGTGAGCTGAAGAGAGTGATGAATAATTATTAAAGTCTCCTGTCAAGGACCAGATTAAGATCTAACTGTTGAGATGCTAGAAATATTTAAAGGAATATTGCTTTAATTCTCAGTTGAAGCTTTTCCTTTTTTTTTCTTACTCTGTAATAGTATCCGTTTTAATGTGATGAGAACCTTTTGTTAAAAAAAAAACTACTGTATCATCCCGAGGACCAGGGTAATAGAACATTCCCAGCACAATGTTAAAAAAAAATGGATCTGTGTAGAGCCAGTTTGAAGGCCATGAAACTACAAGTCCCAGGGAAACGTTGGGGTTTGGGATAAGAGAAATCCATTAATTGAATCTGAATCTGGAGGAGAATCAGCTGCAGTAGGTGAATAATGAAGAACACATTTTCACATAAGGTGTGGTGTACGGCTGAAGAAGAAACTACCTCTAGAAAGATGCCCACAAACACACCCAGCCCCCAGTGTGATGCACGGTGTAAAGGGCAGAATCTCCCCGTGAATCCCCTGTGTTAAGATTAATGTTGAAGCCAGGAATTTTGATCACGCCAGGGTTCGAGTTGGAGTTATGGTCAGAGATTGATACGGGATCGTGGCATCTGCTAAGATTAAGTTTAGGGTTAATTTAGGTTTAGTGTTCGAGTTGGATTAGAGACAGCAGGGCTCATGTGTGGACTGGGTGGTAGTGTCCGCCTGTGATTTAGTAGCTAGAAGGGATAGTGAGGTGTTTGTTATCTGGTGATCCTCTGTCAGGGGCAGCATCTTGTTGTATCCTAAGTGTTATTGATTATTTTAAATAGTTGTTTCACTCTATAACAGGGACTTTAGAGTGAGCTGTAAATCACAGAGGAAAAATAGCACCACCCACCCCCTTTTATCCAGTTAAACAGCAGTGAAACTGAGCATCCATGAGTCTTGGTAGGTAGTGCCAGTGACCTTTGACCTATGAGGTTCCTTTTTGTCAGCTAATCTGAGACCTTCTCTTGTCCTGAAGAGTGTAAATCTTACACCAGGCTCTCCTTACTGCCCTCTCAGCCTTCAAGAGGAAACGCAGAGTTCCAGGCCTTTGGAACTGAAATTGCTGATGATGTTTGCACAGTTTTTGTGTGTGCTTTGGTTTGTGGTGCTTCCTGATCTCACAGTTCACTACACACCAGGTGATTTTACAAAGCCTCTGTAATCTGTGGCTTGGTATATAAATCGTAATTTGCGTTCCTGCGTTCCTGCGTGTTGAAAAGCAGCCAAACCTTATTTGTCTTGTTCTTCTGTTTCTCGCAGTGACCACCTATTGACTATCAGTTTTCTAAGTCCCTCTGAGGAGACATCTGTCTCTCCGGTTCCTGATTGCTCATTCTACCACTCAGACGGTTATTTGAGGGGCAAACATTAGGCATTTCTTTCCCTAAATTGAAGACCTCCTTTGAGTTCATTTGCATGTAGTGCTTAATCTGCCTTTTTATGGCAATTAAAATCTTTCTTTTTAAAAAAGCTGGCAATTTAGCACAAAGTGTGACTTGGGTTTTATCAGCGTGTTTTTTTAGATTTCTTAATATTTTTCTGTAATGAGTTTTTACACCTCTCACATCGCCATAACGGGATGTCGTATTAGTCAGAGTTTTTCAAATGAGTGAAATTAAATAGTTGAATTATATTAGTTGTGTAGTTACTGATGCTCGCCTCCTGTGTCAGATACTTGGGAGATGATGTCTGATGGGTCCAGTGAACATCCGGGGCTCTGAAAGTTTCTGCTTGGCCTACACGATCGTCCTTTCGCTCAAAGGCTCACCCATGCTCAAAGTGAATCGTCCGTCCTGATTGTGCGACGGCTCACGTCGCCTGTGCCCGTGCCGTGATTGGCAGCCGGACACCGGTCTGCGGGGCTCTGTTGGGGGCCCCCCCCCCCGCTCCTCGGCCTGCCTCTCCGCTCCCCGGAGGAGCCCCCTCATTGTCGCGCGGCCCTTCAGCACCTTTGTTGCGTCTCTCCCCGGTGACTGCCGGGCCCAGCTGGCCGCAGACGGGGGGCGGCTCCTGTGACAAAGGGGCTGCGTCTCGTGCCCGTGCGTCTGCGCGGACTCCGAGAGCCCCTGGAACCTGCCGAGGGTTTGACAAGAGGAGCGCTAGCTTCAGTAGATGGGGAGATCGGGGCCCCTGGGAAACCGCGGGGGGGGGGCGGTGGTAAACAACTGCAATTAAGCCAGGACTTCACAGAAACAGCTGCCTGGCCCCATTCTCAGCGGCTGATCTGAGGGGGCGTGCAGGAGTCGACTGATGTCTTGTTTACACATTAAAGACCCCGGCGCTTACGCTGCGAGGCTAAATATTTCGTAGACAGATTATTTTTTTTTCTGCGTCACAGTGGGTAGGCTGGGTTTACTGCATTATCTGGACCCTGTTTGGTTCTTTTTTTTTTTTCCAGGCGAGGCTTTCATATGGAGCGCCTAATTGTGTATGAAAGGCCCCTGTGTTTAAAATTGGCCTTGACAAGGACTTAGATTTTGTGTGCATGCAGGAGACAGGGTTTTTCTTTCTTTTTTTTTTTTACAGTTTCACAACGAAGTGTGATTTCCAGTAGGCTGTGTTCTCCCTTGCCAGGGCT